AGTTATTAATCTCTGTGAAGAATCTATGTCAGACAGAACTGGCTCACTGATGTCTACCGTATCTAAACCCCTCACACAAGTATCATTCATCAGTGCAGCGTTAACTCGTTGCAGATGTATCGAGACCCGCTATTCACACTTTGCGCTTGTGCCAGACAAGATTTCAGGCCTAAGCTGTCGAGGGGTAATGCGCAACCTGTGAGACGTTTAGATGCTCAAATTTGTCTCAACAGTCACAACAGCAGACGGACAGATGGGTATGCTCCTTTGTGCTGGTGTTAATTAGCTTCCGAACACACAGTAGACAGAAAAGGCCAAGGGAGGAAGAGTCAACGGTATAAGAGTGCCAGTTAGCTACTACTTTTAAAACTTGTATGCCAAGGGAGTGGCTTTTTTGACACCTCATAATTGTCCTGATTTTTACAGAGGTTTTGCCACACGTGTAAAATGTGGTACATTTATTAACTGTCCAAGAGATGTTTTACCATTTCAATCAAAAGCATGACAACACAAAACCTTAACAGTCTCAGAACATTGTTTCAGATCATTTAAATGTTTCATTGTGACTATTAAACATACAGATTATGACATGATAGGGTACAGGAATCTTATTTCCTTGCAGTCCTTTTGCCAAGATTTATTATATATTACATGAGGAGCACCACCACTGTACTTAGAGGAAATGTCAGTGTTTCTCAGGTGGTGTTCAGTGCCTTGTCATCCTGGGCATTAGGACAGACAGTCAACAGGACGAGCAACTTTATGTTAGCAGGCAAGCAACTCCAGAGCTCGTAAAAAGCCCATTACCACTGTTCCATGCAACCCTCAGTGCTCAGCTACAAGCATTCAACTGAGAAAAGCTGGTGAGACTGATTCAGACTCGGAGACACTCTGTGTGGCAGAGCAGCGAGATCATCACAACAACCCACACCTTGAGTATACAGACACAGAGAGAAACCCCGGTGTCAGCAAATGTCTCCCACCTCCACAAAAAGACCCCGCAAGAAAATGCTACAGAGAAAATGTCTGACTTGTACCATGAAGATTTCATATAATGAAAAGTTAGGAGCCCAGTTCAATTTTGCTTAAATATGTCTCAGGGATCTGAGAACTAGCAGATCTAATATGTAAGTCACTGTCGGGATTTGACAGAGTCATAGTGTAATGCTGAGGGCCAAACAGAAGGAACTCAAAAGTCTGGGCACTGGATGTTTGCTCCTGTGCCCAAAACCACTAAAACTACTCTCCTAGTTTTATATTGGAAACTCTATTAATGGAGCAGGAGCTGAGTTAGATTCAGAGGAAGCTTTACTCTGCTGCTTCAAATCCCCCCCAAAAAGTAGAGTATGTCTGGTCATGCAAAAACTAAATGTAAACATACATCATACAAAGTAGATGAGCTTTTGCTTTAGTGACTGTGTGTGTTTAGACTTTAAAATGGATCTTATCACTGTTTAAAAATGCACAAAAAGAGAAGGAAGCTGTGAAATGAACAAGAAAAAGAAGGACGGCCTGAAAAACCCCAGGATTTCTTTCCCACTAAATGAGAAAATAAGAGGGCTGTAATTTTCTGTAAGTTGGCATCTCACTTCATGTCAGTGGATTAAGAAATTAATGAAAAGTGGCTAGTCAATCTGACACTTCTAAATTAAGAAGCGAGTATCCAAATGACAAAATTAAAAGGGGGAGAATGAAGTAGAGGATAAATAATTGGCTGGGGAAATTTTGACAGAAAGAGAAGTGCAAAACATGGCAGCTGAGGAGAAGAGAGTGGAAACAGAGAAGGCAGTGGATGCTCCAGGCAATGCCATCTGTGGGTGGATCGGCAAAGGCTGCATGCCACACACCTGTGTGGGACTGCCTGAGAGATAAGGCCCTCAGCACAATGGCCCTGTGGCCACCTGTGCTGCCAAACAGGTGCACAGCCCAGCCAATTAAACTATTAGACAAACACAGGCCTCTGGGAGCAAATTAGCAGGTTGCCCAAACACCAGTGGAAAACAAAAAGCAGTGGTAAGCACTCACTGTGAAGAACAACAACACTTTGATGAGGAGACTTTCATTTCAGTGTGCAGCATTAAGTTTTATGCTACATGAAACGACGTACTGGTTATAATTTCATATAAATGCATAAATTTGACACATAAAAATTTCCCCTGTGTGTCGAGACAAACCCCTTATTAGTGATTTTGTATAAATGAATGTAATATTGCTAAGCATGCATTAAAGATCAATATCCAAATGACACTAATATTTCTTGAGTCATCAATTCATTATGCATTCAGGTAGCAAGCAGTCAGCGGGGCTGCCTGTGAGAAGACACGCTGCACTCACTTGTCAGAGCTCAAGATTATTAATCATGTAAGCTGTTATTTCAAAATCAACAAGTCTGGGATTACATGAAAAGCCCGAAGCAACTGAGAAAGCCTAAATCCACAGAAGAACTGAGGCAAGTTCTCCAAGACGCTTGGAACAACATACCTGCCAAATACTTCGAACAACTGAGCGTTAGGAGAATTGGTGCTGTTTCAGATGCAAAGTGTGGTCGCACAAATATTGATTCCTTTTGAATTTTCTGTTTACTGCACTTTGTATGAGCTTAACTGATAAATACATAATAGTCAAGGCATAATTTTTGGAATCCACCGTGTACTTTTTCAGCCTGAAACTTCTGCACAGTAGCATACTCAGAATTTGGTACCATAAAAGACAGATTCTTTCTACACATAAATGGCTGAGAAATAAGGGCACTGACTTTAACATTCTGCTTTAGATTGTTTGAACACAGCCAAGACAATCTCACACAAAGTTTGTCTGGCCTTTTCAACTATGAGAAAACTGGAATATAAAAAAGTAACCAGCTGGTGGCAATATGTCTGTATTCTGCAGAGATGGGACTTGTCTCTGCAATAAGAAATACTGTTTGGGGTCACAAAACTAGAAGGTGCAAGCATATCTCAGTGTGTCTCAATTGTTACAAGTAAGTTTTTCACAATTTTGCAAATTTCATCAAATCTAGAATAAATATATTAATTTAGTTCCCCAAAATATCAATGTTTAAAGCAGCCAAGACGATCATTATTCTGAGGTGCAAACAAGAATGTACTCTCCTGGCACCTTCTTCATAGTTACTTTCCGTATATGATAACATCCCAACATACTGTACAAAGGTTACATTAACATACTGGAGACAAATGCAAACTTCCTGTGTGTCGTGATCCATAACAATTAAATATATTCATATTAATTAGAGGTAACCTTATCCATGCTTCAAGAAAAATAGTCAGCCCCCTTCCCCAGGAGAGAAATGATAAGAGGCGTAAAAGACATGCAGGGGACCGGTGTTAGTCAACACTGCCACAGTCCTCAACACACACACCAAAAGGTGGCTCCCTGGATGGGCTCAGCCATCCGTGGGAGGCGACTCCTTCATAAAGCACGGGTCCCTCATATGCTGGTCAAAGGTTCAGCCGTTTAAAAACACCCACAGGGCAAGCCTGGCCTCAGTTATACCCCCTCGGCACCAGTTGGCCTTTCTTAGTGGAAAGGCTGACTTGACTCCCCACAGCTCGCTGGAAGATTGTGGACACTGACTTCACAGCTCCGCAGTCACCCAAGGGATAATTACTCAGTTACTTAGCTATTCATACTGCTATGCTAGATACTGTATGTTAAATGTGAATTTATGTTAGGCTGGTAGGTCAATCATACACACACACACACACACACACATATATGTATATACTGGACATACTAATGTTGTCTTGTTGGCCAACTGAATATCTTTGTGCATCCATTCAAACCATCATTTCAGGTGGATGATTTTCTCTCCTCAGTATACAGAGGGTTTGTTTGAGCACCTTTTGTTTGGTGAATGTGCATGAACTTAGCAAGACCACACAGCTCTGTAGCTTTGGCTTCCAAATGAGTTGATACAGGAATACAACCACAATGCTGGTAGTGCCACACAGATTAAATAAAAGCTCCTCTGGGGCCTATGCTGGCAGGTCCTTTCACTGTAGGCAGGGTCAACATGAAAATGTATTCCACTTATCCAATGACCATTTAATATGCACTACTCATTGGTTCACATTAAGAAACATCTCCTCAACAGTGGGCTGGTAAATAATTTAGACGATCTGCTGTCACTAAGGGTTCTTTCGCACTAGTGGGACCAAATTAAAATTGAAGATCTCATTTACAGGACAGAAGGCTGAGACTTTGGGTAGCGAGCAGAGGCAAGGCTACAAAAATCAGTAAGGCCTTCTAATGAATGACTCAAGAGTCGAGCAAAGCTCTGGAGAAAGTGAAGGAAAAAAATCGAACATTATTATTATTAATTTTATTTTTTTCATATAGCTTTATAGTAGATTAAAGAAAAGAAAAGAAAAGAAAAGAAAAGAAAAGAAAAGAAAAGAAAAGAAAAGAAAAGAAAAGAAAAGACGAGATTTCGTTGATTAGAGGCAGGTCATACACATGACACAAAACCACATGTGCTTATTAAGAATTGCTGGGTTTCTATTGGGGAAAACCAGACTTTATATCTATTAAGCATGAAGGAATAAACTGCATAAGTTATCAAGTTCAGCTTTAGCATATTCTGTGCACATATATCCAAGGCCCTATTCATACTCAGCAACTAAGCACATTTTCATTAAAGACAACTTTTAGTGCCAGCCATCCCTGTTGATGCTGAAGTACACTATCTACAGCTGTGTACATCTATCGTGTGGGCTAGTAGTTTGTTCAAATGGATACTTTAATGCCGTAGTGCCTCGAGGAAAACTCTGTAGAAAACCTCCCAAAAATAATGGCAAAGTGACGTAATGTAAATGTACAGTGTGCACACAACGTTAAATGTAAAATCAAAATCCTTCATAGTAAAATTATGTATCATTGTGCTAGCAAAAGTACTCCAAAAAGCTATAGTTTTTCTTAAATATCATTCAAACGCTTCACACTGAACAAGGTACGGTTAGTGAAAAATGTTAGTTACTAACCTGACAGGGTTACTTGTGAGAGACACTCGGAGGGATTCCAGGCAATTGAGCAGCTTTTCTTCCGTGATGCCAGAACGCAGTTCATGGACATATTCCTGGGATGAAAGGGTACACTCATGCTTGCTGTTCCTGAGTCCACCCTGCAAACAAAATATGAGGGAGACAATTTTTAGATTAGCAGCCTATACTTTAACTTCAGCACATAGAGTAATGTGAATAATTTGTTTTTTTTTTTTAAACACACAATTGAAGGGACATGAATGTATAATTTGCTTTAACATATTCCTGTATAGACAGAATGGCTAAAGGAACCATTACCAGCCAAAGAAATCTAAAAAAAGAAAGAAAGAAAGAAAATTAAAAAAAGAAAAACTGTTTATTCTAAATATGCCAAAAATCTATAAATAAACTCACTAATACCACAAAGGGGACTTTATATGAAGTAATACAAGTATGTGTAGTTGTTGAAATTTTTTTGACTTAATATTTGGATTCTTACAATGGTATTAGCAATAAAAGCTAGCCATGATGTCTGCGTTCCATAAAAAACAAAAAATCTGCCTGCCAATTTCTGCTTCTTCTCAATCAGCCAAGGCCCTAATGATGGATTGTAGTCTCAGAGACACAGGCTTTACAAGCTATCTGCAGCAGCTCCTGCTTGAAGTAAATGGATTCTTGTGTATAATCTCCACAGGGATGTGTTGCTACACTGATGCTTACACAACTTGTGACTACACACACACACACTTTCAGCACAAGGGGGAAACATACGTCCACATTCTTAACACTGTACTATACATTGAGCTACAGCTGGATTCCAAAGTCACCAACTGAGTGAATCTATTGTTAGCCTGGCATCATTTCCAAACAGCCCTGCAATCAACAAATAAACTGAAGAATACAAATGTCAAATAGATTAATTCTTCTTCCATTAGAAGCTGCATGAACAAATCAGTGCTAATTAAGTCATTTCATGATTCTATTGTTAAAATGACCTACATTTCACATGGGGGTTGAGTCAAGGTACCATGCAAAACGAATGAGGAAAGACGTTGCAGAAACAGCATCACACATGCCTAAACCAGCCTGCTAGGCAAAAGCGTCGTCACAATGTTCATCCCTGGAGTGCTGGTTCCCCACAAAGTGAGCTGTGCTAATAGGCAGTTTGGGAAGTAATAAGCTAGCTCATTTATCTGGAGAAAAGAGAGGCCTGCTGCTCTCCTGCAATGCACATTCCACATGAAAGAACTCTTTTTTTGTTGTTGTTTGAAAAACCAGAGGCAGTCTGAGAACAGCGAGTTACCAATAATTATGTGCTTTCCATGTAAGCTGAGCTCATGGTTTGATTGGATCAATAATTGCATAAAATATTAATATTCATTTGATAAAGGATGATGTAAAATTATGTTTTCCAAATTCCTAGAGTAATTCCTGCCAAAGTCAATTATAATATTCAATTATTTAGCAGGAATGTAATCACACGCAGCCTAGTACCTCATGTTACTGTTCACACGTGTAGAAGAAAAAGGATAGACGAAGTCCATTCCCAAGTAAAATTGAGTTCCCCCATTCATTTTTGTTACATGGTTTTTTCTTCGATTATTATCTTCTGCCATGGCTTTAAAAAAAAAAACTCAACTCTAATGCTTTGATTCTAACACTTGTAAAAAAAAATCATCTCAAAGAACATAAACCTTAGAGTGTACTTTAGCATAATTGTGTAGTTTTCCAAACTATAGTTGGATTTTGTAATAAATCCCTTTACTGCCTTTTCACATATCTTTCATCTTATTCTTGAGCACTGTTGGGTGAATGTGGAGGAGTGACTGGGTTAACTTTTGTCTGACTCAAGATAGTTATCAGGCCAAGGGGGAGATAAGAATTCTTCTCATTATTATCAAGATTTTGCAACTGTGCACAACCACACGACTCTTTGTTTCACGCTTCTGCCAAACACAATTTTAAATTCTTTTTATTGACAGCTGAAGAACAGCTACATTTTAAAAATGTAAGAAATTAATAGGAGACTGATAAAACCAGACAGACAGGATATGAAATGTCAATTTGATGGAGAAGAGGAAATAGACAGACACTCCAGACAAATCCCTGAGGTGAAATGAGGGGACTTTGAGTTTACAAGAGTTATACTTCAAGGTTTCACTTAGACAGTGATATATAACTGTCTCTGTAGTGGGTAATACCATGACAACTACAGTTTTCTGATTGTTCAAGTCCTATAAAATATATATATATATGTGCCTTAAATCCCAGGTTGGTAGGGCAATTAAAAAAAAAAAAAAAAAGATCTCAACCAGTTCTCTGTGAAAAGATTTTGTTATAATTTCATGTTTCACTTAGTTTTTTTTTTTTAAAAATGTCCACTTAAATTTAATTTTCCTGCATCTGCAGAAACATTGCTCATTGTTCCTTCCTTAGACTCAAAATACAAATGAGGATGTCAAAAAAAAAAAAAGTAACATTAAAAAAACATTCTGAGTTGATGCCTGTTAATCTGCAATTTTTAATAATCTGTTAATCCAGACACAAGAACATTTGTATTTAGGTGCAGTAGTTGGTAGGGTCTTTACTAAGGGGTGTCACGGGAGTTTGACAATCCGGCCCACATGTGCTGTGTTCTGTTGATTTAGAGAAGGTCGACGATTGTGTCCCTGATGGGTGGGGTAGTATCAGGTACCAGGGCTGTTGCTTTGGTACTTTGTTCAACCAAAGTGAGAGCTGTGTTCATATTCTGGGCAAATAGTCAAATAAGTGTCTGGTGGGTATGGGACTCCGACAAGGCTGCCCCTCGTCACTGAACCCCCTGTCACTGTTTGTAACAGAAATGGACATGATCTCAAGGTACAGCAGGGGTGAAGACAGTTTCCGGTTAAGAAACCTTACAGTTATGTCTCTCAATTCTGTTGTTGTGTTGGCTTCATCACATCATGACCTTCAGTGTAAACTGGAGCTGTTTGCAGCAGAGTTTGAAGCAGCCATGAGGAGAGACTGCACCCATGAGATGGATGGATGGATGGATGGATGAATGAATGGATGGATGGATGGATGGATGGATGGATGGATGGATGGATGGATGGATGGATGGATGAATGGATGGATGGATGAATGGATGAATGGATGGATGGATGGATGGATGGATGGATATTTCTCTACTGAGAAGAAGGCCAAATCTGCTGTATTTATTATCCAATAGGGTTGATACTCCCTGACCAGGGACCTACCAAGGACAGTGCATCACCTGTGTCAGATCAAACAATGCCAACAATGCAGGACCAACATACAGTCCACGTTATTTGTTAGGAAAAATATTACTAATTGGCACTTATATTCTCCGGGGGAGCAGTTTTGGGAGTTGGTGCAATCTGCTGCTTGTCCCCTGAAAATATCATTGTTGATTGTTGTACCATCACAGCAGTTCAATCACCAAATCTTTTTGTAGGGTTTCGAAAACACAGTGCTGTCTGCAGTGAATCAGGTTAGATAAGAACAAAAGCTAAAACAACTGGCTTGGTTAGACAGTGGAGAGGCGATATGTCAGAACTGTGCAGAAAAAAGCTCGAAATATAATGGCAGCTGAGATGTATTAAAATCACAGTGGTGGAGTCCATGCAAGTCTGAAGAGCAATCATTTGCCATTTACACGGCTTGACTTTAGTGGTGTTAGAGCTTAATAAAATGCACTCAGCAGTTCATTCAAGGACAGAATGCAAGTTTGAGTAATAACTCAAGTTTACAATTTACTAAAATGATAAATCAATGAAAAAATGTCAACATTGCACAATAAATATATACACTTTTGGCAAGGTAATTGAGAACAAAATAACATAAATGCTGACCTAAACATAGCAAGAAAAATATGTAAACTGTGGAAGGAAAAACACTCACAATTTCAAAAGCAAAAATGCTGCTTACATTACTGTGATTCCATTTTAGGAAATGGCTGATCAGGCGACTGCATTTTCAGAACAGTACTTCCCCAGTAATGGGCAGTGAGAGGCAAATACATCACCCACTTTTTATTTATCTTCTAACCTCTCAGTAGTTCCCAGCAGGGATACAACTATGTCCAGAAAAGCTAGAGCTCTGGTTTCACCACATGTTCTGACCTCTAGAAACCAAAGACACTGACCATAAACTGCTTTTTCATGACCCCAGCTCAAATCAATAGGTTCCTTTGGGATAATATCAACATTACACCACCGTACTGGCAGCAGAGAAACAACGTGAGGAGCGGGAGGAGGGGGATTACCTGCTGGCCACTGGGTAATAGAGTTTTCCCCTGTCAGACTCGCAAAAATGGTCAACAGAAGAAAGTGGTCAAAAAGAGACCCCAGAGAAAGGGAGCGATACGAGATGCAGAGATGGCAGAGAAAGACTGTGTGCGCAGTTTGTGATCCAGCAGCAAGATGCAAAATGTGGAAGATGATTCAGGAGTACGAGAGTCAAAAGAAGTAGGGAATAGATACAAAAATAAAGAGAAACCGTACGGGGGAGAAAGTGCAGGTATGTGAGATAGTACATCAGGAGACACCGCAACCTCAACGGTAGAGGACAGACACAGCCTTTTGACCACAGCCTAGAGCCTCATCTCCTGCCGCTTATTGAATCCCCTATTTGTCGATAACAGTATTTCCTGCCAAAGAAAATAGTGCTGGGAGCAATTACTTCAGTGAGCCTGTCAATTTCATTTTGGGGGGTTAGGGGAGCATTGAGGCTCATTCCCTCCTCCTCTATCACCTCTGTCTCCCTTTCTGTATGCCATGGGGAGTGAGAGAGTGCCGCGCCTTCTATCGAGGGCAGGGCAGGGAGACAATGCCAAGGCGGCTGCACCTCCACATGTCATCTTCACCTGTAATGAGCCTATAACAAGCTGGCAGCTTCCTCAGTGCCCAGTGCTCGGCCCACTCAGGCAGACTGATAGATACATTATTCAGCTTCTTTGTCAGCTTACTGGAGAACCACATAAGCAGTAACATGTCTGGCCTGGAAGCTAGCGCTGGGAGATAGCTTTCAGGCCAGACATGCTTCTCCCATTCAGTTGAACCCGCTATCCCTCTCTCTATCTTTCTCAGGCTTGCACACAAACACAATCTTTAAAATAATGTTTCCCCAACTCCCCAAC